ATCCTGAAAGTCGAAATAAAAGTAAAATGAACTACTGACTAACATCTTCTTGCTGGGAATCCGAAGGAGGCCTGAAGTGGCTTCTGCTCAGGTGATTCTGCCTCTGTTGTTCGTCGTGACTAAACAGGATTACAATTATTATTATCACGGTAAGGAAATTAAATTGGAAGTGTACAGGAAGAAATACAAAAAGAGGCGGGGCTCAGAAACATACCCTCTTTGGTGGAGGCGGTTTGTCCCGATAGGTCAGTTCTGAAGGTTCCGAATTCTTCGGACGGCTTTTGACATGACCAGTCACCACCTCCTGGAAATATAACGTGTCATTCATCTCAAACAGGGAAGGGAGGGGGGGGGGTGGGCAAGAAGGATTCATCCCATGCAAAGGCATGATTAAACAACATCTATCCATAAGTGGGTTACTCGCGGGACACCTGATCAACTCATCTAGACCTAATCGAGATCGTTTACACATGTCTACGCACCGCCATTGTCATGGAGGATAAAGTGCATTCGAAGGTTAAACAATTAATTACGAACGAAAAAAAGTTAAATTACCTTTGCACTACTTGCGCCACTGTCGGTTCTCTTTGATAATGCCGGGATAAACGTTCGATCCTCGTTCTCAATTACTATCGTCGACACCACCGGGATGCTGGAAAAGTGATTTATCATGAATTCTTCAATACCATTTCACGAGATTAATGTCAGCGCCAATCTAAAAACTACCTTTCGCTTGTCAGCACCGGCATTTCAACGGCATCGTCGCGAATTGTAGTAGTAGAGGTATTCTCAGGTGCCAAGGATGGTATCTTACGCCTAAAAACATTCCTTATAGATACTTGTTTAGCTCAAGGCACGTCCTGCCACTCGGGCAAACTTTTGGAGAAAATGTCCTCTCTGAATTTGCTCTTCTGGTACAACCCTCCTTCCCATGCTACCTTCAATTCTTCTGTTTTCCCAGCGACTTTTCCACTTTTCCCTCTTTAGAAATCCACTTCTTGACCAAAAAACTCCCCCCCCCTCTACTGAGTAAGTGCGATCTTCCTTGCTGAGATCGCCAATACAAGACGTGCCCTGAAGTTCTCGTTTGAGTCCATGTACGAAACGGAGAGCTACTTATTTGAAACCCCTTCCAAAATTCACTCGGGAAATACCTTACAGCTGGTTACTGCAGCTAGTTACTCGCCACAACACAATCATCATTTTTGATTGCACAGAAAACAAAACAATCAAATCGTAGGAGAAGAATTGCAATAATACGTACACAATTTCATCATCGAAAAAGGACTAGATACCTGAGTTCTTCACTCTTGGCTGCCCTCTACTACATAGTTTGGTTGTGATTCCAATTCCGCTGAAAAAAGTTCCAGGACTAAAGCGCTCGAGACATTCTGAGAAAAAAAGATTGGACACATGCCCATGGAGGGAGAGCAGGGCACGAGTTCGTACCGTTGCGGGATCCCCGGCGAGGGGGGCGTGTCTGCTCACTCGTGAGAGCGGGGGTCGTATTTATATTCGAGAAAAAGGTTTTGGTTGTTGACTTTTGTCGGTTGTCCCGTTTCACATACGCTAATCATCTCTCTCCCTCCAACCCCTAGAAAGCAGTTTTTTTGAGGGAAAACTGAACAATTCTTGAAAAAAAAACTCCAGAAAAGTGGGTAGGGAAAAGTTGGGGAATTCAGGAAGATATTAGCGAAGAAAGATGAGAAGTTGAGGAACTTTGAACTTTCGAGAAGAAGGGGGGCAGATTTAGCAAAATCTTCTCCCTACGGCAGGACGATCTGTGGGACAGCGAGGGAAAGGAGCCGTGACGACAGGCCGCGTCCACTCTGGAAGTTTGACACACTCTGTGGTTCCGGACTGGCGAGAATCATAGAATTCACTATCCCGGATGAGAGGACGGCTGAGAAAAGACGAACATGGACCAGCCTTCCGCGATGCCCCCTCTCTTAATTTAACGCCAAAATGGGCATAAGTCACTTCGAAAGATGTGAAAAGTGAAGGTCCATCAACCGAAGGTTCGAACGACTCACGTAGTAGGTATCGTCTCCATCGGCGCATTCTAAATGATAGTCGCATGTCTTTCGACTGTTTAAACAGCACGCCTTTGCCATGCCGTTTCCGCAGAGATAACTACGAAATAGAGGGCACGGTGTACCGTATTCTCCTCCATCACATGAACAAAGCAAAGCAGAGGCGACCCGTTGACGTTCTGAAGAATGATTAGACGCTCGATAAAAAGAAATCGAAAAACTATTTACTCGTTAGTGCAACCGCACCCACTCCTTCGAAAACCGTTAGCTCTGGGGAGAGTAAAGGTTGTTGCCCTTTTTCAACCTACTTACCTAGAAAGCTTACCTTCTTCTGGAATCACAAGCAAATCGTGCGTAGTTGGAAGTACGTCATAAGGGCTGACCCAGGCACTTACTGAGCCTGAAATCGAGAAAATGGAAGCAGATTGTCATGAGCTCCATTTTTAGACTATAGATTGTAAATTAACGCCGCCTAATAACGACCATGAAAAAGAAGGGATCATGACGTCTACACTCTAGTTCGCTGCGGACGGTTGGGCGTGTCAGCCAGTATGAGTGTGTCACCCATCTTTGATTCTCTGCCTTCTTGTTGAAACGGGCATGCGACAAAAAGCAGTAGAAAACAAGTAATACGAAAGGTATGATACAGTATTGTCATTTGCTCGCTTGAACAACTCGTGGAGAACGAGTTTGGCACCGCGCCAAACGCAGCCGCACACGACACGGAACACGCCCAACCATCCGCATATTGAACTACACGTACTGTATATGATTTACGATATCTGCCGACGAGTATAGGTAGAAGTCACAATGAAAGGTTTTTCATCCATTCTCCAGAAGAGAGATGGACTCACGGAATATCAGAATGGAATCGTAGACTGTTTATCTTGTATTTAAACCCGGTTTATGCTCTTTACTTCACGTTCGGAGGGCCTATCCGCCTGTGGAGGCAGCAAGACAAATGCGGAGCATTGAGCACAGGGAACGCCACCCATTCCCTCCTACTTCGTTCAGCACAGCGCTTAGTCAAGGATCACTGCCGCATACTTGACAAATTGTCTCCATTCACTCCCCATTCCCAACAATATGTTCAGGAATCAGACCCTCACAATCCTCAGAAGGCGATAGTACTGCACATGAAACTGCTATCAACTCACTTTCAGATGGCCAATGGAGTCTTGCTTTTCGAAAAGTGGACTCGATAAGGAAAATGTGGACTATTTTCCCAGTCAGTTGCACCAATATATCCATACAAATAAGGAAGCACGTTGCCTCGCCCAGGTGTGGTATCCAAATTCCGCAGCTGAAACATACATGATCACTTTCGCACTCGAGGGGAAATTCCCAAACATTATAGTTTTGGACTGTCATTGGACCCTTTGGAGAAATCATCTCCTGATCTCGACCCCAAGCACTACCAGCGATAGCTTCAGGTCGGGGAGACGTCGCTGGCATTAGTGGATAAAGGGCACTCCTCAAGGCCGAACGATTTGCCGAAATTCCTTTCCACCAGCGACGGTGAGGACTTCTCCCCGCCCTGAATCCATCGCGGAACGTCCTATCAGATGAAATTCTCGAAGATTCGTTTAGATGAAAATTTACAGCTATTTGAAACATCTAAATAAGCCAACACTGGAACCATTGAGAATAACACTAGTGCTCTCACATCTACCCGACTGGCTTTTTGCCAGCCATTGTTAACACCCAATTCATTGAACAACTGTCTCAATAAAACACTCACATAAACTTTATCGCCGGCATTATATCGCGGTGGAGCCGACGCGAACCGATCATCGCTTGTGGTCGGTTCTTCATCCTGTTCGTCGAGCTCCACGTCTATATGTTCGTCCTCACTGTCAACAGAGATATCCTCTCCTTGTAACCAGGGAGGAATTTTTTGGCCGGAAAGATTGTAAGGCTTGCGGTTGAACATGCGCTGCAAAACTAAAGAGTTATATGTCAAAAACTCAAGTACTAAACCAGATGTATAGGTTTGCTCACCTCAAACGGGGACTTTTTCCCTGACTGATTAAGGATCATCGTAGTGAACTGAACCATCTCGACCCATCTGTGTTTACTTTGAAGCTCAAACGAGGCGTGATCATAGAGGGTTTCCAGGAAAACGTTGTAATCAGGGGTCTTAATTAGAAAGGGGTGGGTTCATCAGAAAACGAGATTGCAATAAACTCTTACATCTTGTTCGCTGGGGACGCCGGGGCGTGCCAGCCAGTTTTCCACCAATCGTGGTTGCCTCCCAGCTTCCACAACTTTCACAATTGGCAGAGAACGGGATGGCGCCGCGCAAAACCTAGCCCCCTGACACGCCCCAGCGTCCGTAGCGAAAGAATCTACTTATGCTGGATACTCACGTCATACAGGATTTCCTTCATATTAACCCGAAATATATTATTAAGAGCACTGATTACGTCTCGAATTAACGTCACAGAATGACTGCAGCTGAAGCCTTCTGCAATGTACACATCAGTTCAGATCTCTAACACAGCTCTGCAGGCTACGGTTGGAGAGGCATTCCGCGATCGCAGATCGTAAGTATTGCGTCCAAATATCAAAGGACTGATGTTAATGGACTTTCTAGTGAAGAAAAATGCAGGCGCAAGCGGCGATGCTTCATAAATAGAACCCCATTTTGCAGCGGATCTTCAGCATTGGACGAGAACGGCGGAGGTGGACCGAAGAGACACCCGAGCGTATACAAGGAATCCAGAGACAAAGGAAGTGACCCTACACAGAAGTGAGTGCAACACCTAAAGGCACGCCCCGCGTTCATTCGATAGTCTCTGGACATAAGAAGGCCTGGAGGATTTTACTGCTTCGAGCCAGCTGCGAAATAGGTGGGGAAAGCGCAACTCACTCATGACGAGGCCACGATCCCGCCCACTGACTACGGCAATGTTCAACTTCCATTTCTAACTACCATCGATGGTATGGTTGTTCCGCTACTAGCTTTGTCCGTTTGGAGTGGTAAGAGGTTATTAAAGGGAAAGATCTGTGGCCAACTAAGGAGAAACTCGTCGAACCCTCCTTTTTCGCTTTTGCACGTACAAGCGCCATATCCAGCATGAGATTGTAGATGAGCCATTCCGTGGCGACTTTTTTCCGCTTACCTTCTCTCTGTTGTTATTCGAGATCTTGTCATCAGAATTGAAGCCCGCACAGCTCACCATTTCTAAGCGGACGCCAAGCCCATTCACCAGTCTGGTTATCCGAATGACGGTATCAGCGCCCTCGTTACTCTTTTAAACCACGAAATGTGTACAACTTCGTGACTTATCTTGGCACATAAAAGGGATTCTACCTATTAGGGCGATCGCAAAACATTCTTCAAAGCGATGAGTCTAATCAAAAGAAGCGCCGAAAGAAGGTTTCGGTAAGAAAGCATAGTGATGACGCACCTTTCAGATCTCTGCCTAAGAAGCGAACAGCCGAAGCAAATAAGTTTACATGTCTAAGCTTTCCTTTTCGGCTCCCCACTGAAAGGGTCTCTCGGAAAACTGAATTTTGAGGGAACTTAAGCTCCTCTGTATCTGTCTTTGTTGCCACTTATTTTTCAAGCCCTATTCATTTATAGGCGGAGGTAGTGTAGTGACAAGTGGCGCGCTTACCACTCGCGCGGTCCTGGGTTCGAATCCCGGGTCGACTCCCGCCCAGGCCAACCAAGCCTTCTACCTCCGGGGACGGTAAATTGGTACCAGATTCGTCTGGGAGGATAAAACACTGACTTGTACATCGGCTGGCCACCGCAAGTCATTGTATAGGCCACATCGCATTCAATAAGCCACTACGATTCTGAATGGAAGTAGAATGCGTGCCGCATCCCACAAAGGGATTGATCAAGCGGCAATTGATTGGTCATCAATCATTGATTTTATTCATTTACCGGTTATCTCAGAACAATTCACTGCGGAAACTGTTTTCAACGATAGTACTGCTTCCAGATACCTCAACTCACCAGGAACTCCAAATTGAAGAAATATATCTGTTAAGATTCGAATAAGCAATTGCCGTGGTCCAGCTTCCGGAATTGGCTTCGCGAATATGAATCCAGTCTTTATATCAGTAATTATTAAGATATGCGAATATATGGTATTCACATAGACACAGCTGTCAGCACTCAGTAAATCAATCTAAAAACGCTGCAGTTTGGCCGACGAAGTAGAGGAAATCCTAGACTAAGTATGAGTACCTGAACATATTGCATTGGCCGGTCAGCAGGATGATCGGGCGACTCGGGGAAGACCACATCAATGGGCCGATTCGGCTGAAAGAAAAAAGAAATAGTGGAATAAACGAGAAATTCACATGCCCGTTCCAGTTAAAATAGAACTAAACCAAAGGCATTAAGAAAACACTGCAAAAAAAACAGATGCTTGGTTTCCCCCTTCCTCGAACAAAATTTCGCTACCCCGTCCAGAAGCGAAAATGAGTTGAGGTTCACGGAATTGAGCAGAGGTTTATAAAAACAGCGGGGGACATCTTGCGAAAACAGGCTACCTGGACCCCAATGCATATGGAATCATAAGCTTACTCCTGAGTAACGAATACAAATTAGCATTCTCGCAAAAGTGCGTCGTACGTTGGGGTTCCCCAGCGAGGGTCGTATTTGGTCGCTGTAGGGATAGCGGCGGAGTCGTATTCGCCTTTCTAAAATTGCACCTATTGTTGACGTTTCCTGGCTTTTCCCGTTTCAGCTGCCCTCTCCCTCCCGTTCAGAAAAGTGCTAGGGAGTTGAAAGACTTTGGAAACATGGTGTTAGGTAGGATGGGGGATGGCAAACTAAACAAAGGGTATGAGAGTTTTGCAAAATGAATTACAGTCTCATGAGATGTTGTAATAAACAAGAAAACGAACCATCGAATCACAGTCAAACTCAGACCCATCCTCATTAGAATCACGGTATTCACGGGCGTGGCCATAATGGAACAGTTGATAGAACGCATCCACATGACTGAAATACTACGAATGTGAAAAATTCAGAAAACAGGGCAAAGTTGGGCGGTGTACGAGTTGTGAGGGGCACTTTGCACTTTTGCCACTTTCTTCCAGATCGTAAAACCTATCTTGGCAGGTTTTTATATTACAGATAATTGCTGTTTTACGCCACAGATCGCGTTTCGAAAGTACCACAACAATACTGAGTTATCGGCAAAAGTTACGCTGGGCGTAACGAATAGCGCAATCGCCGAAAGGGTGAGGGTGCGGGTTGGACTCCCGCTTGGGTTTTCCTTTGCCTCCATAACAGCCATTCTTGGGTATCTTGGAAGGCTTTTTAGAGCACTTATAAGTGTGAAGCAAGTTCCCTGCTATTGCACAGCTCCACAAGAAATTTAAGGGCCACAGAAGGCATGCTCAGCAGTAATCTGATGGTAGAGGAGCCAAAGTGCCCGCTAAACAATGGCCGATCCGCAACACTAATTTTAATATTACTGTTGCCAGATTAATGGAGAGTCGACCGCATAACTTTGATATTACTCCAGAAAATGATCTGGAGACATTTTCTGAAAATTGTTTCGAAGTAAAATAAACCGAAAACTGACGTACCCTGTCTTTGGGTCGATCCTGAAAGAGATGTGAGCAGGACATTGTGCTCCCTCCTTCATCATCCGAACATGGGGTAACTTATGCCTGAAAGTAAACAATTTTACAAAGTTTCGAAAAAAGGATCTACCCAATTTCCTGTCCGAAATGAACGGAAATGGTTCACAAGACATGTTCCTTTTCTGAAATCTGCTTGAGATTTCTCTTTAAAATACCATGCACTGATACTCCGGTGCTAATGGGTTGAGGAGAAGGTGGCATAAGATGAGACTTCGCCGTCTCCACTCTGAACGCGTTGCGTTAATGCGTTCTAAGGCCGCGTCCATACCTTGAGACCGCGTCCACCAGCGACCATCAGCGTTTCGAGCGTCCGTCAACGTCAGCGACTAGGAAAGTATAAATATCGACCTAGCGAACAGCAGCGTCTAACAGCGTCCGCCAGCGACCATCAAGGTCTCGAGGGGCAGGAATGTATTTATATCGATCTAGCGTCATCAGCGTCCGCCAGCGACTATCGGCGTCTAGAGGGGCTAGGAATGTCGATCTAGCGTCCGCCAGCGACTATCAGGATCGATGGACTATGCAAGAATTAATATCGCTCTAGCGTCTACCAGAGTCACTAGCGACACCCAGCATCCACAAGCGACCTCGAGTACGGTATTGCGTAGTAGTAAGGTGCGGTGGTACATGCTACAATTTCACGACGCCTAATCCAGCTGTCTGCTCCCTCCTACTTTCACATATCCTATCACCCATCTGCGACCTTCATACTCCCCATACTCTCTACTCCTAGTCGCTTGTGGACTCTAGGTCGATGTCCATACTTCCCTACTCCCTCGAGACGCTGATGGTCACTGGTGGACGCTGCTGTTCGCTAGGTCGGTACCTATACTTCCTAGTCGCTGATGCTGATGGACGCTCGAAACGCTAATGGTCTCTGGTGGACGCTGCCGCAAAGTATGAAAGTAGCCTAACGGCAGCCTCAGAACAGAGTATCACACTCTCAATGTGAAGGTCCAGCGGGCCTAGCCGCGCGAGTGTATAGTTGCTTCCGAGTCGAGGCAAGCGGGCGAAAGAGCGTTGCAATTGGGTTTTTGGGGGATGGCTCCCTTCTCGTCTGTCTATGTCCTGATTCTTTTACCCGCCTGCTACCTTGGAAAACGCTCCGCTAGTGGGCTCTGATGCTACCGGTTTGAAGCGCGCAAACTGTACACCCCTATGCGCTCGTCCCACCACAAGCCTGCCTGCCTCGCTCCTCCTGCTTCGGCAGCACCAAGGTTGTGCTCACTATGTCAATGGAAGTAGTTAGCACGTCGCGTGCAATGGAATATAATGTCACAAACCTTCTCGACTGTAGGATAATTTTGTGTTCACTTTTTGAGCAATGCATAATCTGTCGCTTATTGTGGGGTTGCTTCGTGTGCATCATGAAGCGACAATTGCACAGGATGCTCCTACTTACGAAAGGACGAAACGCTGAAAAGCGAATGGTGCATCAATGCAAAGGTTTCTATCAGCGAACGCCCTTCAACTTACTTCAAACTCGCCGATATTAGCAAACGTTCGGAAATGCATTTCAATGGGCATTCTTGTGAATGCGGAATCTGAATGAAATTGCGTTCAGTCTGGCCTGATGGAAGCTGAAGTTAGAAGCGATTACTCAACTCGCCACAACTAGCACTGTTGTCCTATAGCACCGTCATGGAATGCCATATATTGTCTCGGCAGTGTACAGACAGCGACATCATGTGGTTGTTCTGGAACATAGTGGGCTATGGTAAATTCAAGATGTTCAAGGAATGTTAATTTCGAAAAATAGTCAAGATGGTAAGAGTTAAGAATCCTCAGTTGAGGGGAATCGCTGAATCTGATCAGTGCAGCGTGGTAACGTGCATTAATCCGTCGCGCGCTTACTATGTGCACTCATCTTGGACCGTTTAACCTAGGATTCACTGTTTGTGGCGACGGGCTTGTACCGGTTTCACATTAACTCATTCCGTGGGAGACGGGGATCAATTAAAAACAAAAAACAATGTTAGTGCGTGGCGAGACAATTGTGAGCGTTCTCAATAAAAACAAAAAAATTGTTGACGGAGCAACGAACCTCACATGAGTTCAAGGGAAGACAAGTCTCCACGGGGTAAAGTCAATTTTTCCGTCCCTTTACCTTTCCACTTTAAGGGCCAGGACAACTCGCCCGGCAGACGCGGCTCGCTCGCCACGCCCACCACCGCGGCATATTACGATTGTCATGTCACATTCCCGATTCATGTAATTCCCACGTATAGCGGGAGTGGGCATGCGGCACGATTGATACAATTGCATATTGCTCATGTATATTGTACTGTGGACAATCCCACGACTTCCTTTGGGTGCACCTCTTCGTTGAGGGAAATTCTGATATACGACCACCCGCTCCAGTATCTATCAGGTGGCGATGAAGGGGGCGGATAGACAGACATCTGATCTATCAAAAATGTAAGTCCACAACATCATTGACTTGAAAAGATTGAGGAGGTAGAATTAAGCGATCTTCAGTAAGGAATAAAGTAATCAAAATATTTTCGCCAGACCAAATATTATGCCTCCCCTTTCAAAAATGGACATGGCCCCTCTTTTCTCGAAGAATCTTTGATGATGATGTGCCCTGGCATCATTTGTTTCTCACCGCTCATCATACGCACTTCTGTTTCTTTCCTAGAATACATGCAATCAACATTGCGACCAGTTCATCACTTCGGTACTCAGTTGTCCTCGATAGAAGCATAGTAAAGAAAATTGAATACTCACATTATATGATCCATGGACTTTGTAACGATGATGAGCATAGTCTGCTTTGGTTTCGAATTCTATCGTCTCTCCAAGCTCCATGCAAATTCTACACAAAAATGTGCCATTAACCGTTTCCAATGGTTGATAGAGCTGGAATTGATGACCATGATTGAAGACCAATACGTCCACATTTTCACGCTGTAAACGCCGACCTGGAAGATAACGTTCTGGTCATGTTGGGTATGGACCATATTGTCGTACTGGTACACGTATTCTCGCCCCTCCGCCGCTAAATCGCCGACTTCTTCCACGGCTTCCGCAAGCAAATCATCCGTAGCAATCACTTCAATCTTAAAAACTATCTGTATGAACAATAATCTGGAGCAAAACTGAGCAGTTGGGCTTGGTGGGGGCCTTTTGCCAGTTTTCCATCGATCGCTGCCAATGCCCACTGTGGAGGCCTGTAAATTCCTGTAAAGCTGTGCAATAGCATGAGCTTCGTTCACTTGACAAGAACCTACAGTTCTCACCAAGAGGAACGGTGGTTTCTAACAGGAACTATCGAAAGAGACTAGCGAAAGTGCAAAGTGCCTCTTTCAAGCCGAACAGCGCTCAACACGAACCATTTCGTTCGACATATCTGCGTATTCTCTTCGGAGGGGTTTTGGTTCCATTGTTGGATGGTTGTACATCCTGTCCTGGAAGATAACTAGATCATTTCATTAAGAGCATCCTTCAGAGCCAATATAAAAGCAATTAATAATTGGGTAAGTACTGTACTATAATTGCATTTTGTTCTCAACACTAACTATATGTTGGTAGGTGCAAAATCTTGTATTCCCCGCACAAAGCGAATTTTTACTAAAATCTCTGCGCTGCTACTACACATGGGAAGAACTCGAGATATTTCCAAGTGCGCATGACCCACAGGGCAGTAGAAGAGCTTAGACTCTACGAGAATGACAAGTGAATTCAACCGGAAAATATTTTCTCGTATAAAAAGGCGTATACGTGAGTACGATATTGCCACCAAGGAACAGGTTTGAGGAATAACATTCAATCGTCTCTCGATTCGACGGGCCATTAATTGTACATGAAACGTTCCATCTACGTTGCGGAAGTAATCATTCAGCGACAGCCCAAAAAACAGAAGTGACTGACGTCTAGGGAGGCTGCAATGGAATCAGACACAGAAGTATGAGGGAACCTCCAGCACAATTGCAAAATTCACACGATGAGACCTCCAGAAGAGGGTTTCATGGTTGAACTCCAGGAGCCAACCGCACGTTCAACCACAACATGATCTCTAGGGTCCGTAAAAGGTGTAGAAAAGCCGTCAAAAGCGGGAGAAGTTGACAGTGTCATCTCCATCTCCCTAGCTCCCTTCACCATTGAGTTGCTCCAGCGGACGCCAGTAAAAGCCTCGTAATACTGATGAACGATCATCAGCCATTCGGAGAGCCCTCCGATGGAATTAGTGGCCTCGCAGTGGCGTTCACCATGTTTGGTTGACACCCCGGTGGAATCCGGCCGGTATCGTCCGGCCCAGCCGCGTCGTCTTATGAGCGTATCACGTGCTCGGCCTACCCGATCTTTGAACCTACGCGAATGCAACTTTCTCTGATCACCTACGAAGTGTGGAATTTCATATTCCTCTCCCTTGTGTGTAGCGGGGAACTCCGAGCACCGCTCTTTCAATGGCATGTTAAATGACGCTGACCGCATGTTCATCCCATTTTCGTAGAGGCCAAGTCTACGATAAGTAAGTCTAAGCAGTAAAAACCGCGGAATCGACTTCGCCCTTTTCGCTACTCCCTCGATGTTCCAGAGTCTCCAAGCCGCTCGCTTTCCTCTTTGATCAGCTCTTGTGCTATGTCGTTCATCATATTGATGTCCCGAAATAGGTACACACAGCTGGGCACTTCTGTGAATTCGTTTGCGGTGATTTAGAAAGGGGCATCATGCCCAACCCGTTCCTCATGAATCATGTCTTCTTGAGATTCAGGCTGCAAATCTTATCCACCACGCTCAGGTCGAACCAGCCAGAATTCGCTCCGCTGCTTGATGTTGCGTGACAGACTTCTTAGCAAGGAGAGATGCGCTAGTTGCCGCCGTGCGATCTTCACCCTCAGATTCCCCATTGCCGGTTTGATGCATGAGCGTTCTCAAGAGCACGGCACTGAAGGCTGAGCAGATGCTGTCTCCAATCAACCCCTCTTTCACGTCCGATTGATAATCTCCCCTTTCGACACGTGAGGTCTGGCAGTGATGTTAGCGTAGACTTCAAAGAAGAATCCGATGGAGTACGACGCGCCGATTTTTCCAAGTCTTCCGATCACCGACTCTTTCGAAGGGTTCCTTGAATGTGAACGTGAGAAAACCGGCATCTATTCCTCGCAGATACTTCGTATCGTCTGTGTCGAAACCCCTCTTCTTTTACGTCGGTGATGTTGTTAGCCAAGAATTTCAACCAAATTTGTTCAGACGAGAAGCTCCGTACCACACTTCTTTACGCTCCTCGAAATAACGTTCGCTAGGAGGTCACAAGCAATGTTACACTGTGCTGTCAACTGGGTCCTCAAGTTATTGCCCTCAGGTCAAATACACCATTATCCCTGCAGCCGAGAGGTTGTGCGAAGGGGAACTCATTATTAAAGCGAAGCTAAGGCAGCCTTTTCAACCAATAATTGCGGGTTCGGTATGATATCATTTGGTGGAAAAGGCCATCCCGGATGCGTTCAGTCCACCCCCCCCCTCACACTCCTCGTTTTCAACGATGATGACTATAGCCCAAAAGCATTCCAATTTTATGCTGAATATTTGTACATAAAAGAAATAATAATGAATGTAGAGAATACCTCTTGTTGGTGATGCTGTTGAACTTGCTCGTGAGAGCCTAGTAATCGTGTATCCCCTTCATTTTGACGATCCTCTTCCGCAGGACGACCCAGCATCCACGGCGTGTTGCTCTATCCCTGAAAGACCTGCTTGAATAGCTTGAAAATGATTGAAGTACCGGAACGCTCTAAACTGTATGGGACCTCCTCCAAATCACAATGAAAAAACCACGAGGAAGGTCCACGCAGTGATTTCACCACACAGAGTAGTGAACTAACCACATTCAAGATAATATGTAGTTGTTCGAAATTGAGTTATTACAAAAAAACGAAAGGAGATGACCATCTGTCAACTAATGTTCTCTCCCTTTGAGGAGCCCAAAAATATTTTCTCTTCGCATCTCCTAGCCAAGCATTTGGATGGAAATAAGAAGGTGACGAGATGGAGAAGCAAGGAAGGAAAGGAAGGAAGGAAAAGCAGCGAGCTGCGGAAGAAAAGTTTCAAAGCGATTTTATTGCCGTCAAATGAGATGTGCTCTGTGGTCTCAGACCACACACGACGAATGACGTTAAGTTAACAACTTCGCTGTCGCGGTGAAATGTGATCCGTGCAATCGACCTTTTCGCATGAACGAATACGAAAGTCGTTCTTTTCTGCTCATTATATTTGCCAGAGTTAGCACTTGTAATGCTTATGGAACGCCATGTTCTTCTGTGGGGCCTTCGTGACGGTTTTTAGCTATTTTCTCGACACGTTCATATCTGGTGCTCTTAATGAAACAGTTGTAATCAGTTCGGAACAGGAAAGTAGCGCTATCGCGACGGCCTTGAAACGACTGGGAGTGATACGTGCGCCTCCGATCAGGGTTATGTGCAGTTTTGAACTAATTCGTAGGAAATGGTGGTGAGCAATTATGAGCCCTCCAGGTTTCGCTTGAGTCCCGCTCTTCGGGAACGATTGAGGCGCCCTCTAATGTGCTTACGTCAGCTCAAAACATGCTTGCCGTGCTAGAATTAGCCAAGGAACAACCGATTACCTTGCGGCAGAGTGTGTGCACCTTTTGCGTTGTAGGCGTGTCGGGGAAGGCGCTCGCAGCGCACAGAATTCAGTCTGGCTGTGCTTGTGCTCGCTGGCTTATTGACTTTATTCTCGAAGCAGTCTTACTCGCTTTTAATGCCCTTCACTCGAACCTCTTATTTGCATCCGTCGCCACGCACAGCGTCTTCACAAGTAACCCTACTACGTTTAGATGGAAGGCCCTTTATCGAAATGGACCAATATGGTTCATGGATGGCAGTATCGATGGTTTCGTCTTGAGGAAGATGCATTATTATACTACACATCCAGGGAAAAAATGCTTAAAGGCCAACAACGAGGTCAGTTCAGTTTTTTTTTCGCCGGAGTTTGCTTATCGATTGGCTCGTGTGCTTCCCTTTTTGCTTTGGTTTCACATTGTTTACTTTGGCGATTGCAGGGGTTCCCATTATTTCTTCTTATCTCTCGTCATTCATCACAATTATTAATTTCCTGAGTGTTTACAATGAAAACTACCAAGCCGGGCCTCTATAGTATTGCAATTAAGCTTGTAAACTTATTAGGAATTGAGCTGTGGGCTGCAAAAAATGAGGGGGCATTTGAGGTCAGATCGTCCCGACCGCGGAAAATATTTACTTGTTGCAGGGAAAAGTGAGTAAGCTGTGCGAAGGAGCGATCGCCTGCAAGGGAAGGAGTGTTTCAGCTCAAAGACAGTACTGGCGATCGAGTACTACGGGTAGTGGGTGTCTAATTATGAGCCACTAGCTGACGCGGGACCCCCTCCCCCTCGAAGGAATCAAAAAAAATTGAAGAGCACCCTGAACCCTCTCCTGGCAGTGGCACAGCCTTACTGCAAGATTCCCTCCGACGAGCATATGAAATCGTCCAACGACGCTGCAGGCAACACAACGCATGCAAGAATTTCATCGTGTAAGTTGTTGTCTTACAGACTGAAAAAAGCAAATCGTGCAAGGGTCACGCATCTGCGGCCGTTTTACCTCGTCCTTACTGGTGACGAAAGTGGTACATTCTACGCCAATAAGACCTTGGATGCCAAATGCACGGGGATATTTCGCACACCACTTGATCGCGGGGACTGCCTTTAAGCTTTGGGTGGGAGAAAGTTTCGAGGTAGGCCAACAATTTCTGCTCCACTTTATCGGGATGTGCTCCAAAGGCTTGTTAGCCAATTTATGGCTGAGCAGTAAACATCCTATGCTTGCCAATGGTTTGTGAGGTCGGCCCATGGGTATTAAATGGACTCCTGTGGCTATCTGTGCTTCTTGAAATACGGTTTTATTGCGATATTTTGAAATAACTTGTTTGAGCAGAAAAGAGATTCCGCATTACTACGGTCGCAGTTTGCTCAGAGAGTCCTTTAACTGACCCCACTTCTCTGTTGTGACCTTTTCTATTCATGAGGTTATGCTTCACTGTTTTCACGGTCATGTTGCAGAGCAAGTTGGTTCTGGGTTCACCCCGACCCGATGAGACACTTTCCTTCAGTACGACCCCACCCCTCCCACTACAATATTCGAGCTCTACGACCCCACCCTAGCCATTCCTATACTTTACTTACTGAAATGGCGAATGACTATGGCTGCAACGGGGTAAAAGCCGAAAAATCTCTATTCTCTCCCGAATTCTACCTCCTTTCCAACATCATGCATCCACTCTTTCAACCAACATCAGGCACCACAATAAGACCCTTCCATGCCATATCGTTGGGAAAGTTAGTCCTTCTTGGGTCCACTGCCATTACAAAAGTCAAATAAGCCTCTAATTCGACAACTACGAGACTGCGAATTGTCCGCATACAAGAGGGACGAATTCCCACCAATCAACACCACTTCCGCTGGAAGCGGGAAGCTTCTTATTTCAGCTCTTTATTAAAAGTGTTTCAACGAACATGTTATCGCGATGCTTGCTTCGTAACGAAGAAACTAATTGAGCCCGCAAAAAGTTCGATTACACGCACGAAAACAGCAGCGGAAGAAACAACGCACAATCAAATTTTGACAGCCCCGCCCAAACTCAAAAAATACGACAAAAATCATAAAAAATCTCTCGAAAAAATAGACAAAAAACATAAAAAAAATCGTCAGTTGGTGCGAAGAAGAATGAATTCCTCAGCCTAACCGGAAAGCTTTTTGTATAAACTGTTCTCCCCGAACAGTCAGAGTTTTTGGGCGCGGTTCGGCTTGGTAGGGGCTCAAATGGTACTTAACAAAGTTAGTTCAGGTCCCCTGTAAAGGCTTACAAATTATTGTGGCCAATGTGACTCAGCAAGATCATTTCGTAGCTTCACAAGAATCAACAGGTCTTCTCGAAGTGTAACCTGATATTTAATTACTAACTGACTAGCAAAAGGAACTAGCGAAGGTGAAAAATGTCCTCCCAAGCCGAACAGCGGTGATTTTTGCCCTTTATAGAAGCTTTCAAACTAAAAGTGAAATTATCTGTGGCATCGAGAGCTTGGTTTACCTACAATTTCTATTGGGTACATTTTAGGGTGCATGCGACTTCATGGTGCAGTCGTAGGCATTGATGGCGAAAATAACAGTCTCTTCACGATCACCGTTGATGGGAAGGTATTCCATTTACAGGTAAGTATTTTTGGAATGTAATAATGGAAACGAAATGAGATGCGCAAGGGAAGTGCAGGCATCTCAATCATTTTTATTAGTTATTCATCGCTTGAATGCTTGACTTTCCTATTTCGAAACTTCAATGCTACGAAATGGCTTTTAAGAGTCTTCGTCAAGGAGGTGAAACGAAGGGTTTGACTCGCACTGAAAGGGCGTCGAATGTTTTCCTTACTCTTTTCAAATTGAATGAGAAGGACGGCAAAAGTATGAAAGAAATCTTCCGAAAAGTCGATAGTTCCTTTCGCCCTTTACGCAGATGAACCTTCGCCGCAGTTCGGCTTGGGGTGACGGCGGTATCAATCGAGGCACTCAGCGAACATTTTTCTGGCTACTGGAGGCCAGTAAATTTTGTAACCGAGTTGGCTCACTTGTATCATTTCGCAGCTTCAGAGGAGTTTACCGGACTAATAATAAGAGCTCTCAGCTAAAATGAGCTAGCAACGAAAGTGATGACAGTGGAAAATGCCCCTCCTGAGCCGAAAAGCGCCGAAATTTTGCCTCGATGTTTGTAATCCATTGATTATTGTAGTCCTGTAGATTGAGTTCTGGAGCGTGATAACATTCATATTTTTGTTCACGGCAATAGTCCTCTGGAAGAGTTCTGGCTGTTTGCCCTTGGGTGAAACAAGGGAAAGGCTGCTGGGATGTTAGTATTGCTGGGAACTTCAGTGCTAATGTTTCTGCTGAGAATTTTTTCCCTCCAAAGAAGTCTGGGACATAGCTGTGTTATTGCAGCTCATTAATGTCAGACACATGATCGTATTTGAATTGCAAAAGTAGTTAACAAATCTTTTAATGAACAACTTTGAAAAAAATCGATACCTTACCCATACTATTTGCGCTCGATCGCGTCAGAAAGTGGCTGAAAAACTCTTTTTTGAGGCACTCAATCTTCCAGTGCTTCGGTTTAGCTTCAATTACTTTGCTTTCCGCGCAGTTCGGCGTGGGGATAGGGAAGTTCATTAGCACTTTCGTTTCTTCCCGTTCCACTTTCATTGCCTTACAAAAGCTGTCAGGTATTCTTTACAAGCATTGATTTCTACAAATTTCCAAAGATATTGTGATGTCCACAAACTCTGAGTGGTATAACTTCATGACTTCGGAAGATTTCACAGATCTATACTTGATTGCTGAACACGATGATGCTAAGCAGCGGAAAGTGGTAAAGACCCGCCTGTTAGACCGATTTTTTTTTCTTACAAAAATCTCTTTGAACTTCTCCCCTCTTTTTTTACAAAGGGAGGAATAGTAGGGAAGGTTTTGGAAGCTTATTTTTTGCCCCTTAATGTAGTCCATTTATTTCGAATTATTTCACTGTTTTTTACATCCTCGAGGCGTGCACATTGTAGTGTGTGTCCTGTTTATTACAGAATTGAATTTATTAACAAGCTGTGGGATTCAATGCCTAGGTATTGTTAATTCATAAGCGTCCGTTTCTTCAGTTTACAAGCCCGGTAAACTGGTGGTCCCATGGACTTGCTGCAATCCGCAACCATGTCTACTATTCCTTTCTTTTTACTCATTCTTTTCTTCTCATAGTATGTCCTCCCTACTTTCTTTTCTCTTTTTCAAAGCAGGCACATCCTGTCGCTGGGTAAATCATTGTAGAATACGACCTACCGAACCTCCTCCTCTGGTACGACCCCCTTCCCATTCTGTCTATCATCTTACAGAGTTTCCGTAGCTTCTAAGAAGTAGGTCCGAATTTTTCTAACCATTTTTTTTCTCTGAAAACTGTCTGAGAGGGAATCGCCACTGAATAACTACTCCCAAGGATCCGCCAGCTAAAGCGGAGTATTGGAGACCAGAGAAAAATTTCTCGCTTTCTCGAGCAAGGAAAATATATTTAAAGGCAGTTGGCACGATGGTTTCCTACTTACCAGGAAAGGTCAACAGGTCTCAGCCTGGCCATTTGCAACTGAGATGAGCAGCATAAGAGCTGTCACCCGGTCTTGCGACGGTGAACTCAAACTATATTCATAAATTTTGCGGAACCGATTCCAGCTGAGGCCGCGAGTTAGACGAGGTTTCTTTACTGTTTTTCTTATTACGGGCGCGCTGGCGCCGAAGCATTGGCACATGTAGCGCCATTCACAACGCTCTTTGCGCAAAACAGGTATCATATTCGTGTTTAGGGGGTCAAATAACCCATAGAGACGTCACGTCTGCTTAGGAGAAGTCTGAGATCTTGACAACTTCGAGAAATGGGTATGGCTAGTCATGCCTGACTGATAGGCCAACATCGATGCTATGAAGCAAATGAATGAATACGAGCGTCAGGAACGGTCGTCCATTTGTGGGCGGGCGGGCGTTTGGGACGTAAAGTTGTGGCTTGATAGGGCCCTTATAAGGGCACCTTCCTCGGGGAAACCGCTATGCAGCGCCTGCCCAGGGTCGCGGAATTCTATCCTGCCAGGAGTATTGATCCTAGTCGTCTTGGGGATTTATCGTGCCAACTGCCTTTGAGGCCACATACGACTTATTTCAAAGCGATGGCAAAATATGGTCCCCTCCATGGAAGTCTCCTAACGTTGTGAATATCGCGCTTGCGTGAAACAGGAAAAATCAATTGTCAGAAAAATTTGTCAGACCAAGAACAGTCCCACGCTGAAGAGCCCCCCGCGTACGCGTGCGTACGACGTGCCCTTTTCCAGGGTCACCCAAATGACGCGGGCAGAAACTGCTTCTGCACCCTCGTAACGTGTTATGTTTCTCGCTGGTTCCTTGAGTTGGCGTAATTATGCCGCTTTCTGATGAAAAGTCTTCCGCTTTCGATCACATTGTGTGGCACACTTATTACGTTACCATAGAAATGGCGCAAATGATGCATAGAATCCTCTGCAAGTGCAAAAAATCTTTGACATTAGTCCTCAATGCATTTCTACGCGCTCATTCCTAATGAGCACCCGAAGTTAGAATAAATTATTGTCATCACTTGGATTTTGCGAGACGGGACGTTTTAACAGATTTTTGGATAACGACATAACTGACAACACTTCTCCTAATTGAAACCTTTCGTTATGATCAGGTCGCGAGAAGGATCACTTCGGCCGTTGAAGGGAGGGAGAGGGGGGGGGGGGAAGTAGTGGTCGTTTTCTCCTGGAGAAAAATGTTTTCAGTGGTTGACTTCCATCAGTTTTTCCCGTTTCAGTGGTGCTTCCTCCCCCATGCCTCCCCCCCCCTCCCCCACCAGCGGCCGTTTTTGTAGGGATTTTATATCCATCGGAGTAACTTTTAAGATGTGCTATTTGGAAGCAGTTCTCCTAACTCCACAATCTCTCTTGCCTTTCTTGCCATCGTTTTTCCTCGTTGGCAGGAAATGCATCATTCAAAAGTCTTCATGCGTTCCCTATATCCGTATTTGATACCCTTCATTCTTTTTTTTTGAATTTTACCCCCCTGAAATATGATCAGATTCTGTGACAGCTGTCAGTATAGTTGAGTCGATGCCGCTTATGTGCGGTCGATTTTCTCTGGAATGACGGCATTATGTTGTACGAGTGCATAGCCATATCCGTTATTACCATCTGTGGGCAATGAAGCGAACCTGGAAACTTGAAGTAAAGGTTGCCTGCCTAACAAGAAACATTTTTGCCTTTTCGTGCTCGGCTTGCGCTGTAAATCAGTATTAGCTTTTAAGCTTTGTTAGAAAATTATTTCCGCACATGTAACTCGCCCAAGATCAACAGGAACCGGCATGTTTGTACAGAAATGAAAATCCGGGCTTTTTCTGAGCTCAGGCCTTTATAGTCAGGCAGGACCAGATTGTAACGTGACCTCTATTCCCCTTTGTTCTGCGCCGCAGAAAGAGTGGTCTTCCTGCCATGTGCATCGGCATCTACAACTATCCTACTATATATAATCCGCTAAGTTTGTCTGTTGGTGTGTTGTGTGTGCGAATGTATGTGTGTCTGTATGTGGTTTGACCGGAAATTCATAACTTCCTTCAAAACAGCGATTGTGCGCTCAAACTGATAAGTGATGTAGGAGGTCGGGCAGGAACACTATTGGTGGGTGGCAGGAAGTGATAAGAGCTGATAAGATACCATAGGGAGTCTTAGAAAGCGGGGTCGCCAACTCCATAGCACGCGTCACAGCGACGCCTAAGGGAAGCTTTGGTTCACAAGTAAGCAAGTTAGGGGACAGGATGGGAACATTATTGGTGTGCAGGAAATGAATAGACCAGCCGATAAGATATGCATAAGTGGCTCTCAAGATCAGCACGGAGGGGTCACCAAATCCATAACACGGCCACCAGCACGGCGAACGATCTGTTCCAGGCGAATTATATGTACGGGTGCAGTATGGGACACTATTGTAGATGGTAGGAAGTGATCAAGAGTCTTATAGAATACGCCAATAGGGACTCTTTAGCAAAGGACGAGGGTCTCCAATCATAACATCGCGTCACAGCGACGCTAGGACTTTGGTTCCAAGAAGCAAGATAGGGGACAGGATGGGAACATTATTGGTGGGTGGCAGGAAATGATAACAGCCGATAAGATATCATAAGGGCTCTTAGGAAGCGAGGGTCACCAAATCCATAACACCGGCCACAGCAACGACGAGACATTGGTTCCAAGTAATATAGGGGGCAGGATGAGAACATTATCGGTGGGTGGCAGGAATTGATAACTGCTGATAAGATAGCCAGGAAAATTCACACCAGAGTTATAGCAGCAATGGGAACTGCTCCAGCAAGTAATTCAGAGGTGCTTAGGGGAACATTAAAGGTGGGAGAGAAATTCTGACAGTGTCCGACGAGGGCTTTTGGGAGTCCGTATCTGCTCACATCACCGTAGCCAAAGAATGAATGGGCGAATTCTTAACGAGTCAAGATGTTTTCCCTTAGCAAAATCCCTCAGTTTAGCGGTCGGAATTGCTTCCACCGCTAAACGCTCGAGTTCCCCGAAAAAAGGATGTATGGAGTTGTTGCCCAGTGAGGAATGATAAGAGCCACTGTGATTTCGATATTTATTACCATCGGAATCCTTCCAACCGCTACGCTGTCCGATTTCCAACAAATGGTGCTTTTGGTAGAAGATATATAGACCTAGGACATTGGCAAGTGTTCATTAAAAGGGAGAAACATGATGAAATGGGCCGTTTTGGAAACATAGGAATTAAGCTCAGTGTTACTGCTCAGTGCAGAAATCCTATCAGGCATCGAGTAACGATATTTAACCGCTTGCCGCAGAATGGCGGTCAGCGCAGACTGGTAATATATATAATTCGCTTGTTCTGTTTGTTTGTTTGTTTGTTAGTTTGTTTGTTTGTAAGTTTGTTTGTTTGTTAGTTTGTTTGTTTGTAAGTTTGTTTGTTTGTTTGTAAGTTTGTTTGTTTGTAAGTTTGTCTGTCCGGAAATTCGGTTCGACCCTGAAGAACGACTTGGAGAGGTTGCGGTCAAGGTGGGGATGGGTAGGGCGTGGGACAAGAAATAAAAAGCACACTTGACCTAAGGGAAGCTCCGCCCACAGTGGGCGGGGCACTCCCCGAAAGTTTGGGGTTCCGCACAAAAATGTTCATAATTCGCTTCAGGGGCAGCCTAAAGATGGGGGGAAAAAGGAAATAAGGTTAGTAAGGAGTCGCAGACTAACTGTGGCAGGTACACCCTAAATGGGCGCGGGACGGCGGTACTACGAAGGCCTGGCGCGCGGACCTTCTCGCAAATTCAGTAACCGCGTTTCGCCGAGAGTCTGTTTGGAAGTCGCAAAAGCTCAAGTTTTAGAATGTAATATCCTGGCCGCAATATAGGGCATGCTTGCACAGGCGTGTCCTGAGACACCCGCCTACAGTGGGCGGGGGCTTGCCCTAGCAATCGGCAGCGGTACTTCATTGTTAAATGTTTGTAAGCTCAGTTCCAGTAAACTACAAGAATACCCGGAACAAAAAGTGACTGTAAGTTCAGCAGAGGTGTCCGGTGAGGCTGTGTGGGGGCAATTAAAGACATTGTGGGGTCTGGAGCCTGCTCCGAGGTGGGCGGAGCCAGACAAAAAAGGTCTGTAAAACGGTTCCAGAATACTCCAGACACCGGAAAAAAGTGGATTAAGGTCAGCAGAGGGTCGTCGGTGAGGATTGTGGGGCAAAAACATTGTGGGCGGAGCCTGCTCCGAGGTGGGCGGAGTCAGACAAAAGATCTGCAAAACGGTCCCAGAGCACTTCAAAGACCGGAAAAAAGTGGATCAAGGTCAGCAGAGGGTCGCGGGTGAGGATTGGGGCAAAAACATTGTGGGCGGAGCCTGCTCCGAGGTGGGCGGAGCCAGACAAAAAAGGTCTGTAAAACGGTTCCAGAATACTCCAGACACCGGAAAAAAAGTGGATTAAGGTTCAGCAGAGGGTCGTCGGTGAGGATTGTGGGGCAAAAACATTGTGGGCGGAGCCTGCTCCGAGGTGGGCGGAGTCAGACAAAAGATCTGCAAAACGGCCCCAGAGCACTTCGAAGACCGGAAAAAAGTGGATCAAGGTCAGCAGAGGGTCGCGGGTGAGGATTGAGGGGCAAAAACATTGTGGCGGAGCCTGCTCCGAGTTGGGCGGAGTCAGGCAAAAGATCTGTAAAACGGTCCTTCAAGAGCGGAAAAGTGGTCAACGCAGGCAGAGGGTCGCTCGGTGAGGATTAGTGGGGAGCAAAACTGAGATATTGTGGGCGGGAGCTTGCTCCGAGGTGGGCGGAATCAGACAAAAGATCTGCAAAACGGCCCCAGAGCACTTCAAAGACCGGAAAAAAACGTGGATTAAGGTCAGGAGAGGGTCGTCGGTGAGGATTGTGGGGCACAAACACTGTGGGCGGGGCCTGCTCCGAGGTGGACGGAGTCAGACGAAGAATCTGTAAAATAGCTCAAGAGTACTTCAGACACCGGAAAAAAATGGAGTACAGAACAAAAGGGGGATATCAGTTGAATCTAGAAATATGTGAAAGAAAGCACGCGCGGCGAAGCCGCGCCCGCCCGGCGCAGCCGGGCCGTATCAGAAGGAGCCACGCCGGCGTCAGCCGGCGAGGCGACTGGTAAAGCATAAAGGTTGCTCCCCATACTTTTTGCAGCTTTAACTATCCTCGCGCGAGTTGGGATTGTGAGCTGGACTGACCGCGCTCTACCGCTAACAACTGGCCTATGGCAATTGTCCTTTCAATCACAGTCAGCCGAGACTGACTGAGATCTTCGCGGCGGTCTAACGATTAACGGTGGAGCGCTGCCCTGGGCGTAGCCGGCCAACACGCTCGAGCAATGGCGAAGTATGAACGCACTCGAAGTAACGATAATATAGCTTCACGTCCGCTATGTATGTTTATACGAAGATCACAGAACTTGTTCTAGGATTCGTTCCGGGTTTATTGAGGACTTTTGAAATCCTTTCGTGACCGACGTACTTATTCTCACACATTTCTAGTTTTATGAGGTCCTTAAGAAGAATCTTCATGAATATTCTCAAGATTTGCATTCGGATATGCATGTCAATGTAGAAGATATGTAGATGATTTTTTTCTCTTCTGGTGGATGGGGAGATCTCAGCGGTTCCAACAGCCATAATGCTTTATTCCAAGACGATGCCTGATCTTTGCTCTTTGTCGATGGAAATATTTGGAAAGAAGATCTAGACGGGAAATCTCCATGGGAACTTGAGAGAAGGAAGTCTTTACGACGTCGTATTGTGGTTTGAGGTGATCGAAATTGAGGGGTCTCCAGAAGATTTCAGTGACATCACGTTCGTGAATTTATGGTGGGAACCTTATCGGAACCGGGACTAGTGCGGTATCCATGGGGTAAGAACGGTCCGCGGTGGCCGAAGTGGAGCTAAAACATGGGCGCAGTGTGACGAGGGGGGGCAGTGTGTTGCACTTTGCTGCTTCCATCGACGATCCCGGTGTAGGCTGGCGTGTGGACGCATATGTCCACTGCTCATCTGGACAACCTACTGCGACTTCACAGGTTTTCTAACACTCATGCGCTTGACAACCTTCGTTCCAGCTTCCCAAAGGAGTTCACATTTTCGCCAGAGTCGAGACATGTCAAACCTGAAACTCGAGGAAGCAGTGATATGTAGCACAGTGCCCCCGCACGTCGTACTGCGCCCTAAAATAGTTTCAGAAACATGTAAAAGCGTCATCCACACGGTTCACTGCCGATATCGGCTAACCGGCTCATTTCGCTGAGCGTGTGGGTACTACGAGGCTAGTGTGGGTCACTATGAAGGCTATGGCGGCGGCGCAACAGCCATTGATCTGCAAGGGTAAAAGTATCCCCTAGGCTCAGCTGTAACGGATAGCGTCCTCGCGTGGTCAGCGGGAGATGCGGGATCGAGTCCCGCCTGCGGTCTGCCTTTTGCCCATAACTCAGCATTCTTACAATAACTGTCCACAAAGTTACTCTTGTTGTCAGTCGAGCGAATCAGTCGAGAGGCCAACCGACATGATCTAGTGTAACTCCAAAGATACGAGTACGTGCGCCATTTTCAGTTATCGCCCAATCGTTAGGCGATTTACCCAGAGGTCTCAAAAGAAAAAAGAAAAGTCATGGTTCCAACGTGTGATGATAAAACGGTAGTAGCGTACCTTCATACCTTCCCCTTCCCTGGGTTGGGTTTGCATGTCTTCCGGTCATTTTTGCCAGAGATAAGGCGCTTATGGGGCTATCGCTTTCGTCCATTCTTGTGATGTAATAGGCATTCTGTGGTGTCTTTTCACATGACTTTCACTTGCTGACGGCCACGCTTGCTACCACTTTTATCAAGAAGTGTCACCACATGGGTTCGTGACAGTATGGCGAAAGTTCTTGAACTTTTGTTGTGTGAACGATGTCGTAACGTGGTGTGCAGCCAGGGCTCACCATCTGTTGTGTAAAACACGCTAGGGAGGTCGTCTTTGGTCGCTGAGAAGAAGGAGTCGGGTCGTATTTCCCGAGAGAAATTTTTCCCTAGCTGTTGACTTTTGCGTTTCACACGCGTTGAAACCCCTACTTGGTGGTGCCGCAAGACTAGTTGGGAAAAGGGCTTCACTTCCAATAAACTGAAGGCACCAATATTACTGGTTGTTTATGGTTCCTTTCTCTGCTTCTTTTCCAAAAATCAAGAACTACTCCTTGTCCGTGATAAAGCGTGAGCACGAAAATAGCATGCCTTATCAGTTTGTCATAACAGGATCGGATGTGGGTTAATTTACCATCTTGATGGCTGAAATGGTGGACGGATGTGACGTTAAAGCGAGCAAGTCTATTTCTGTTTTTTTTCTGCCTTCTTCGTTGTTGGGCTGTCGTATCAAAGTCCTACGGGGTTCTTTCGTTTACTTAGAGTTTAAAATAGTAAATTCATTTGGAACTTACTGCATTCCTTGGTTCATTCGTCAGGTGCCACCCTATCAGAACTGCTCTTAGAAGAAGTAAGGTATTTTTTGTTTCTGCGGCTTGATTCCATGGGGGGGGTATTCGAAGGACGTGCATAACGAGGATTACCGGGTTGGGCATGAAGGCTTTGCCTAGGCATGAAGAAGGAAAGAGCTCCAGGGTGAACAAATTTAAAGTGCGATGATTTTATTCGGATGACGGTAATCTCAGTTCCCCCTAAGATTCCGTTAAATATCCCGAAGGGGTCAGCGTCGGTAACTTATAGACTTTCCCTGGCGAATGGCGTCTCTCAGTCTTCTGTTATTCTCACTCTTCTGTT